CTTTGTGGGTTTGGTTGTTTTTTTTTTTGCTTCTCCAGGAAATATGTGAAGACCCCCTTGTGCTGGGTGAGCCAGCGCAGAGAGAAACTGGTGCCGGTGGAACTCGCCAAGAGAGAGAAAGAGCAGCTCTACTAGACCCGGGTCAATCAAAGCAGCCTTCACCAAAAGACTGAAGAAAAAAAAAAAAAAAAAAAAATTCAGAAAATGCTCACTCTTTGATGGGACACATGGTATCTTTATTATACGCAAGATATTCTCTCTTTCATTTCTTAGTAGAGCTTCCTTCAGTGGCAGTTTACAGCCAACGTTAAAGATTGTTGTAGTTTGTAACTTACTGGAAATCTAGGCTCCGTCTGTTTCAAACCACCATCCCTCACCTCCCCCAAGATTACTCACCTCTTACATACAGGAGGTGAATGGAAATTCGAATACTGTGAGCAATTCTAGGTATCCATATTCAACAAGAGTTCAGCCTGGAAGAGGTGCAAAGAATGACTGGGGTGCCAAGGAGAAGGAGGAGTCTCACGGGAGGAGCCCACCAAAGACAGGTCTGTTTAGCCTAGCAAAAAAGGGGCTGAAAAGGGTTAACAACTCTCTGTTAGTACATTAGGGAAGACAACACTATGGAGCGAAAATGGACAATTATGGAGCGTAAAGGATGATGTTAGTGCAGAACAACTGGGTATGAACTATTTACGAATTAATTTAGGCTTCAGCTTAACAAGACTTGGAAAAGGATCTTGTTCATCAGAACTTAATTATTTATAACACAAAGCATGCTCAGGTTAGAAGAGGAACTTTACATAGTTTCCTAGAAGGGCCAGGATTCAGTGACCTAGGAAATACTCCTCAGAAAACATAGTCAAATTGTTTAATGGGGGACATCTGCATAATCAATTACTCTAGATTGAGGATGGCCTTACGGAACAGGAGATAGGATTTCTTTGGCTTCCCAGTCCCAGGAAAGTTGGAAGCTGGAGGTACCAGAGTTGATGCCAAAATAATTTTATTTCTCAACACAGGGCACACTAGACTTTGACTTTTGGATTCAGAAAGCGAGAATTGTGTGATACAGGGCAGCACGAAGGGAGTTCAGAAATGGTAATCACTGCAAATCATAAATTACGTCAAATTCTTGGTTATTGCTTAGCAAGTGTATCCTGAAGTACTGAACAAGTCTCTACAAAGGGCTATCTACATGGCTCCCATAAAAGAACATAGGTCTTTTTTTCCTAGAAGGTTAATAGATTTTGTTAGAATGACCAGTAGATAAATACCTATTAGCAGATAATAAATGGTTCTTTGTTTAAAGAAAAAAGCATGCTTTAAAAGCATGCTTGCTGTCTCAGCAGCCACACAGCGGCATTTCTTCCAGCATTTAATTGAGGAAGCAAGACTGACACTGCCAGCTGGAGTGCAGATACTACTTCGAACTAAGCACATGATCCCACTTTATTTGCTGTCTCATAGCATTAAAACCACCTGACTGTGTCCTGCACTGAAGGAACAGTAACTTACTGAGCTAGGTAAAGTTTTATGTCTGAGCAGAGCAGATCAGTTCTGATCAGATTCTCACATGGTCACACTTCTAAATACTGACACCGTAAATTTATAGGAGCATGTCTGTTCAGACAGTGAGCGTGTGTTCAAAACCTGAAAATAAACTATTGAAGCCAAGGACATGATTTGCTAGAAGTCACTGGAAATTTAGCTGCCTCTGGATGGGAACCTACTGGCCAAATCTGTACCACAACTTTCCTGCATTGTAAGCAGGAAATTTGAACGGTATTTGAACCGATACCAAAACCCTGTTGGACTTTTGGTACAAAGGTCGGGTAAATAGTTATCACAATGCAGGATTTTTAACTCTGCAGATCCCATGTCATCTAAAATGAGCGAAACTCTGAATTGCTAGGCCACTGGCTAGCTGGTCAGCTTATGGCTGCCTTATTTTTTTCTGTCCTGATCCTAGAGCCAGCAGTCCTCACAATAACCTCATGGGTGCCATGAGACCGGGCTGCTTTCAGGGATGCTTATGATACTATGCATAAGGCTCAGCAAGATGCAATTTTTGGCATACACAACGTACCAAAGATTAAGTAAAATCTTCTCATAAGGGTCCATGTGAGCCCTTTTGACATAGTCTATAAGCAACGAGAGACCAAGCACACTCAGGACATGTGGACAGACAGTGGGGCTATGCACCTGAGACGTAGGTGACTCAGACCAAAGGCCCCATCAGAAGCAGTAAACTCAAAAGCCTTTCGCTCTCATTCTCTACGCGGAATCGGCAGGTTCTCATCCCAAGCTAAAATTCCGCCCTGGATCTCAGGTGCTTCCACCTTTTCTCCAGACGTGGAAAACTTTGGTTTCTATTACTTTGAATTTTCCAATAAAAACTGAAGACCTGCTTAGAATTTTGTTTGAGGTCTACAGTTCCAATATCGACCACAAGAGGCTAGGAGAAGAGGTCCCTTTGCCCCTGCATGGGAGAAGGCCCACAGCAAAGAGTCTCCTTGTGCTTCCCTGACCTCAGCAGTAACAGTTTACTCCGCGCTGCAGCAGCAGGAATTGGCAAAGGTAAGAGTACTCCTGTAACTTCTGCAAATAGTCAGAAAAAGGATGCAAAATGCATTAGAGCTCAGCCACGTAAAAGTTTCACAGCAGTGTGAAACGGGGAGAGCTGGAGAGCTGGATTTGGAGCAGCGGGGGAGAAGCCATGGATGAGGAGGGCATGCGAAACGCAAGGGGAGGTGAAGTCAGAGATTGACTCTGGCGGTGGGGGGAAAGCGGCAGCTGAAGTTTTTAAGCGTAGATGTTTCATGCATAGAAGGTTGAATTTTTTACCTTAAATTTCCACACTTAACTTGGAGGTGTGAGGAATTCAACAACCAGAACATGGCCAAAACCTACAAGATTTGGTGGGGGTTTGGGGTTTTTTTGGGGGAATCAGGATCCTGATTTTTGCACTTTCGGGATCAGCTCACATTGTGATACACAGCCTGAATTTCGTTTTTTTTAACCATAGTATGCTCAAGCAAAGAATAGTTTTGAAAAATATCAATGCCTTCTTGCTAGAGAAAACAACACATTCTATTACTGAAATGGAAAGAATAATAAAATATGGGATACATGGTTGGTGCCATGTGTTGCCTAATGAGTATGTGTCAAGCCTGGAAGCCTGGCAAGCATTTGTTGAAGAAAAGCAAAAGATCTAGAAGAACTTCTCAAGTGCCAGCAAAGGGCTGCAGGCTGGACCTGCTAATATGGTAAAGCTTTTTTCTTAGATCAACAGTGGTATTTTCTTTTTATAAAACCTACAAATTCCACTATCAGTTCTGAACACTTGTAAAATGATCTTGTCAAAAAAACAGTCTGAACCCTCCATTTTTTGGGTTTCTGCATGTTAGTACCTTCCTCAGTCTTTTAGCATTGATGTCTACTGAAATCTCTCCACCTGCTTCATGTTTAGGCTGGAGGACGGTTATCAGCGTCATGCGTTCTACTAAATCAGCTTCAGAACAAGAAATATTAAGGTGACTCCAGGTAGTCTTCCAAATATGCTGTTAGTTTATCAACATCATTCTTACACTAACAAGTGCCTGAGATTAAATCAAGTACTAGAATGTATTTTTAGTAAGACTATATTGCAGGAAATTAATCCATTTCCTGATCTGTGACTTTACCAGGTAGTGGGTTACCCGCATTTCCAATAGCATCCCCATTCGCTCTGGTTGGTACCGTTTTCTGACAGTTGCCTCTAGATAGCAGACCTTTGCACATGCAATCCAAGCCCATACCGGCTCACAATTTCTATTACATCACATTTAGTGAAAGGGGCTTCTGCAAAATCTGTCTCAGAATTGCAGCTTCCCAAACAAACCTCTGCTGTAATAAATTTTGTGAGTGTTCTTACGGAAGTAAATTTAACTTAGAAAATACCACAGAACTTGTCTCCCCACCTTACAGGTTTCGGGTTCATTGCGAGCTCTTCTAAACTTTCCCCATGCACACCTATTTAGTGCAGCAACAAGTAAGTAAAAATACCGTCTTTCTGAAGAAGGCATAGTTCCAACACTGGTTTAACTGCAGAGACCCTACCCTAATAGCTTCAGATACCTCCACAAGGTGATGCTGCTGTAGTCAAAGGCTTTTTAAATCACGATAGCTATAGTCTTAATTGTAGTCCTACAGACCTAGCCCTATATAGCCCTATACATGTAACCCTAATTGTACCGGTCTTTCATAACAAAGCCTGCACATCTGATGACACAGAACTGGCAGTCACGACCTCATCGACTATGAAAATACAAGGGAAAGAAGGGACACGTCTTACAAATCACACCCCTGGATCTCCGAAGCACTCCACAAAAAAATTTGTCCCGGATCTAAAATTACTCAGTATCTTCATTAACAGACTGGATTATGCTTATTAAATTTGCAGGCAGTACTAAACTGGGAGAGACTGGGTTGGAATTCAGAGCTTCGCAAATCCGTGAGAAGGGTCTGAAAAAAGCAGGGTACAATTCTGAAAGCGTAAGTGCAAATTTCTCTGGTAACGCTAATTGCAAGTCGGAGAATGATAAAATGGAGCTAGAAACTGCAGGAAAAGATCTAGTGGCTATGACAACTCACAAGCTAGCAATGAGTCAGTTACCATCCTACTGCAAAAAGGAGCCCTTAGTAGGCTGTATAAATAGAACCGACCCTTCTCTCTAAGGAATGTGAAATAAACTTTTTATGGGGCTGTTAGTGCCGCAGCTGAGCACCATGCGGAGTTTTGCATGGGATCCACCTGGAGGATCCAGGGACAGATGAATGGTGCTCTAGAAAACATGACCATTGAGGAAGAGCTGACTGATTGACAGGTAAGTGTAATCCAAAGCACCGCTCCTCACACTGGAGGCGAGAGCTAGCGCAGAGGCATGCTGTCTGGCCTAGGGTCCACATCGTGACGCGGCAAAGGAACCAAAGACTAACTCATGAAGATGGGGAAGGGGTGTGCGTGCATACGCGTGCATGTAGAAATAAGGAGCAGCAAGGCTTACTCCAGGCTGAGGCGGGGACCTACCGATTTAGAGCAGTGATGGGAAATAGAGGGATATCCCCGAGTATAAGCGTACACTGCCAAATGCCCTTCATCATCAGAGGTCTTAAAGCGTGTTTGTCACAACCAGTTTGAAGCTCCCTTGGAGCCAGAAGGATAGGCGAGCACACATTTCAAGGAATCTTGTATTTGCTATTATTCTCTTTCTCAATACTACCCTGCCAGTTTAGTAGTGTGCTTTTCGGCTCCCTTATGGATCGTTAGGAGGGCCTCAGACTGCTAGCATGGATCTAAGCAGCACTTCAAAAGAAACAGTTCCCATTTTAATACATCGCAGCTTATAATTACCTTTCTTTTTTGTTCTAACAGGCAGATTTCATACTACGTGACAGTGCTAACAAAAAAGCAAAACATTCTTCTTTCTCCATAAATTTAGGAGACACATATGCTTGATAAAAACTCCAGAATTTCACTGGCAGCACTCAAGTGCTTTGTAATTTGATCCAAAAGAAAAAGAGGCAAGCCTAATCTAAGACAGCTATTGTAGTTACAACGGCAAAATCCTCATTCATCAGTTTAGGACTACACTTTGTTCCTGGAAAAGCCATTACTATTTTGTTCATTGTTCAAGTACCTTCTGCTTTTTCTTTTTTAAATTGTAATAATAATACACTAGTGTTCCCCAATGGTGGTTTGTCCATTGCTCCCTATGACTTTTCACAAAATCCTCATTAGTGTCAGGAGTGCTGAGGTCCACGTTATCTTCTACACAAACTGGAAAGCTTGCACACAGCAAGCACCCCTTTCCCTGCTCTTTATCATGAATTCCGTGACCGTTGAACAAAACTTAGTAACGTCATGGTTGTAAGTCCTCTCTCCTACCCAGACTGAGCTTAAAAGGGCTTTTATGAGTGTATCACGTAGGCTTGTGGCAAATTGTTGCTTCTTTCTTTCTGTTCTGAAGGGTTTGGTTGAGCATTTCCCGTACTATTTCTTCCTTTCCATAATTTCTGCGTGAAGTCACTATGGACAGCCCCAACTTCTATACCATCCCCTCAGACAGATTAAATACATTATGCTAGGCATTTGCTTCTTCAGGATGTTCTTCCACCCTTCTTTCACAACTGTGACTTCCCGTGCAGTAACAACTCATGGTTTACTATTTTTAGCACCCACTAAGACTGTATATTACCTGCAGCACACAATAGCAGAGTTACATTTCTCTTCAGCAAGATAGGGAAAAAAGACATACATACATTTATACATATTTATTGTATCTTTTTAAAAGTAGCATTTGCAGTTACTTTTAAGCATTCACCTCTCTTCTGCTTCAAATGTGCACTTATTGAGAGAAACATCTACTGGCTTCCAAGTCCAAGATTAATACCAATAATAATACATGCCAGAATCAAGCTTCATTGCTTGTTGGCTGCTCCTGTCATGAAAATATTATACAGTAAGAATAGCGTAGAAAAGGTCTGTGTTAATCATTCGGCAATAAGCTGGGGCTGGATTAGCATGACCATGCCATCTTCCCGAGCTGAAGCACACCACCACTTTCCTGAAAACCGAAGCTCACATAGGAACTTTTTTCCTTTTGCATCCAGCAGGTGGACAAGGCAGTTGGTTTTTCTACAGCAGCTTCTTCAGTCGATAAGATTTCCTCCTCATCTATAGGAAAACACTTGCTGTAGACCTTTATATTTAGAAATGTCTTCTCTTCATGTAACAGCAAGAAAATACTTGAAGTCTGGCATGTAGTTAAGAGAACTGGGAACAAACCAAATTTCATCCTTGGATAAACATACGTAACTACTATAGATTTCAATCTAACCCACGCACAAAGTTTTACACGTACTACAAATAGAAACAGAAGGTATCAGCAAAAGACTATTCTTACATTGTTTCAAATTAATTTGCAACTATACAATTTTAACTGTAATAGAAAAAGGGAAAGGAATATAACAGAACAGGTATGAAGAGAAATATTTTCCAAACTTTTATTTGTGCATTTTCATAAGGTGAAAAAGATAACTTTTACAGCTTCTTTGGTGCCCAATATTCAGCATACAAAAATGTAAAAGACTATTCACAAATAAAACACAAGCTCAAACAAAAAAAAAAATGTTTTAAAGGTAGTGCACATCGTGACAGCTTTGCTTATGAATACACAGAAATTACTGCAAAAATAAATAGAATGTCTTTTTAAAAGCAGCAATTTCATATCTTGTAAACTTCCGTTTTTACAATACAGCACTGTTAAGAGTAAAATCCAAAAGAACTGGAGTTTATACTGTGGCCATGAGCAAGTAAAAGAGTCTGTATTCCTCTGCTATGGTTGGTCCAGTTTTCCTTTTTGCTTTTAGTCCAATGTGCAGCAGTCTTTAAAGGTGCTTGGTTAGGGAACCTAACCATCAAGTGGTGAATTATAAAATTTATTTCCTGCTTTCAAACACGAATGGGTAAATCTGTTCCACAGCACTGGCAACAGCCTTTACGTTTGGCCCTGAGACATATTAAAACAAAAAAAAGAAAGAAAAAAAAGCAGTAGGAAGAGAAAAATCAGGGAATCGGAAATTAAAACAACAATAGTATCTTTAAAATAACCTTAATATTTTTAGCTACTAGAACTTTATACTGTAGACAAAAATAATTTCTTCCCCATGTCTCCCAACTTAAGGAGTGTTCCTCTGATCACTTTTACTTACAAGACAAGACTCTCACATGAAATCTGCAAGATGTTCTACACTGGTCAAGGGCTAGACTATAAACAATACTATCATTTAATTTCATAACCACTTGGGTGCTCTTCGATTTACTGGCTTAAACAGTCAGCCCAGAGAAGACGACAGAGGCTGAGTGGCAGAGGTAAAAGAAATACTTTTACTTACGCTAATCTTCTAGGAATTTGTATTACTCAAATCTCTTCTTTTAAAAACCTACCAACAAAAACTACTGCTAAATAATGCTGGATTTAACCCAAGTATGTTTCAAGCAAGATTATTTTATGTTCGAAAATTACAGACTATTACTTTCCAGTCTGGATTTTGCAAATAGCTCCACCATTGATCTCAGGAAAAAACCTGCAAGCTAGGGAACGGTTATTGTCTCGGG